TCCGTATTTACAAGGAAAGCACGATGAAACCATCGCCGTGTCACCTATCCTATAAACGGTCATTGATGTCTTATGGGGAACAAGAAGTGAAGATCTGGATTATTCGATAGATATCGCTAAATGAATGAAAATAACATTCTTTGTACCGATTGAATAATCAAGAGTTAGATGATTGGGTTTAGTTGTTTTGCTCGTAAATGTTTCGTCCTAATTATAGTGTCCATCAGTCAAAAATTTAATATTATTTCTGATTATTTTAATCTAATTTTTTCCATTTTCATTTATTTAGGCGATATTTAAATCAGGTTCGAAAGTTTTTAGTAAGAAAGCAGTGTTTTACACCGTACTTTATTGTCAGAACAAACGTATTGATAGGAATTGTTTGATATATCTCGTGAATTGTCAAAACGGCGGTCCTACGTCGGTATGACAAAATAGCGGATAATAACCGCCTGATAGAGCGTACTGTAGCAGAAAGAAGGCAAAGTTCGTTACAGTCGCAACATCGGTCTTCCTTCACTTTCATGATTGGATGATTAATGAAACTGATGGTGCGGTGCTGATTTCCATTTCTATTTCATCATCGGCTAGAAGTGCCATATTTTAAGGGCAAAGTCAACAGCCATGTGGCAAGCGTAGCGTATAGACATCTGCATCGTTCTCACAGAGTGATATTCGTTTATGAACCTGAGAAGGACGAGTGACCCAGACTGGGGCTTGAACTCAGGAGCTATCGGTTTTGAGTTCGACGCTCTACCAGCTGAGTAAACCCGGTCTACTCTAGATGTTCAATGGTGGACGAGATGATCATTCTGGGGTAGTAGAATTTACCATGCAAAAGCTGCCTGCCATCGATTGTAGATAATCTAAAATTTATACGAGAGACTCCACCACAGTTGGTCTACTAATATCTGAATAAATATTTGTTAAAGTCTGTGGTGCTGATTATGTTCATGAGAAAGTTAGCTGTCTATGCTTTTTATTTACCTGGGATTTGTTGTTGAAGAAATTACAAGCATAGTGTCTTCTTTCGTTTTTTTCCTTTTGCATTCATTTTTTTACTTTTGAACAACCACCCTCGTTTGTAATTTTCATGCAGCTGTAACATATTGTCCACCCTATTTCTCATGTTTAATGTCGTCGTACTGAAAAGGGAACACGTTTCTATGATTACGAAAGTTTTGCGTTAAAAAACGTTATTGTTCAGCTTATTACCTTGTTGGCCGTTCAGCATGATTATGAGTTTCACAACAGCACTTTGCCAAAAATTGTAGATTTTTCGTCTGTCTGAATCTAAGGTGATATTTGCTATTTGTTTTTACTTATCTGTTGGAAGGCTATTTTAATATTATTGCACGATTGCATTACATTTATCAGATTCACTTTATCAATATATGATTTATGGCAATGTCGTATATGACAGTTATTAATGTAATTTACCATTCAGAGGATTGATGATATGATGTAGCAACATTATTGGGCAATTTCTTGTGTTTCGATCATCCAAGTTGAGGATAAATGTCTATTTCGGCGTTTTCTTGATCTCATTCGTAAACTGTCACTATCAGATCGTCCTTTTCTCTAATTTATCAGCTGTCATTGTATTTACGAAAGCTGTATGGCACAGCGAGAAAGATTTCACGTGCTTCTGGCAATCATACGAGCGATAATTCCATGCCTATCCGATGTGAACTGCCTATAGCAGTTGAAACTAAATTTCTACTCTATTGGTATCAGAGTATGCTGTTCTGAAACTTGCTTATTCTTTAGGCAAATTGTTTGATCGTACATCTATTCCGTTTTGTTGTCTTTAGACTTTTGTTTTAAATTCTATACTATATTGTACTGCATAGTGCTGTACTTCAAAGTACTTTACCGTACACTATGTTTTGCTTTCGTTTTAAATGATGTACAGTTACCGAAATTTAGGTTGAAAATGCACGAGACTTTGCAGCCGTTTGTATTGACGAAGGCCATCAGCTCTTGGCCGGCTTCCAAGTGGACTCCAGATAATTTGTCGGAACGTTTTGGCAACAAATTGTTCAAAATTCGACTGGGGCCTCTAATTACAGAACCTGGATCCATCACATGGGAAACTTCGAGTAGTTATGCCGAAGTTACCCTCGCTAACTTCGTTCACTGGGTAGAAGGGAACGTTGCGGAAAGTGGTCAGTTGGCAAATTTCAAGAAATCTAAATATTGGGGCTATATTGATTATAAGTACATGTTTGAATGGTTCGACGCCGATGAGCTGAGTGAAGTAGACTGGAGCTTGTTTGGTATCGAAAATGACGGTCTACAGAGCACGTTCTGGATCGGCAGTGCCGGAGCACATACTCCGTGCCACTATGACTCTTACGGATTCAATTTGCATGCTCAGATATATGGCAATAAACGATGGGTGCTGGTTCCTCCGGAAGATAGTCAGTTGATGAGGCCGACGCGACTGCCATATGAAGAGTCGAGCATTTTCAGTGCACTTGATATACGGCATCCGCCGGCGGTGCTGAAGAAAGTTTCGACTAAAGCTGTGCTTTTGAACCCCGGCGACGTGTTGTGTGTTCCTCCTCGATGGTGGCACTTCGTACAATGTGACAACACAAGCATCTCAGTCAACAGCTGGATTGACATCGATTCTGATTTGGACTTCAAAGTCACTGAGGCCGCTACCCGTGTTCTTGTTGCGATCATGTCTGATCATATATCCAGCAAACTAATCGATAAAAGTTTAAGTCTCGACCAGGATTTGGAGGTATTCAGTGATGTAATCGCTTTGTATAGTACAAGAGCGAAAAGCCCTAACCCCTTGAAGAAGGATTTGCTGCTGAAATTCTGGGATGAACATGCGTCCTCCAGCGCAGTGGTTCCTAACGTGTCTTATGCTCAACTATGTGAATTTTTGAGCTGCGAACAAATGGAGGAAGTGAATGAGAACGAAGGGCCGAAGACATACGGTAAAGAAGATGTCATATCGGCCATTTTGCAGCCTGATGTGGTGACCAGCATTTGTAAGCATCTTTTAAAGAACAGTAAGTAAATTGCAGATTCGTAAAATGAATCTAGAACTTTCAGTCATTTAAATGGTTGCATTAACTTCTTCGAAAATTTACTAAAAAATATTTGCACATTGCAAACGTATAGATGCTCGAACATATCTCACGCTAAACTGAGGGCCTGGAAGTCGTGCAGGTAGGTTAAGGCGGCGGTTACCCGCCACTAGTCAATTATATATGTCTCTAATAAAGCCACTAAAAGTGCTTCACTACACTTGCATCTGTTGCTCTTGATAAAGGTTAAGAAGGCATTGTCAGTAACTCATGAGGGTAGAGAGTCTTAGCAGGTTGCTGAACAACCACTTGCCAAAAATTTTCAGCACGAGAAAATTGGATATGTATTCTCTGTTTTACGCTGTTGTTTATATTATGTTAATGAAATACTTTCCCCTCAAAACGGTTCACTGCTATATAGTCCTAAACAGCAATAATGTTTAACCAATTGTAAGAAGAACTTTGTGGTAATCAGTCTAACTATGGAAAATGCCTTGGGATTTAATTTCGCCGGCTGTATCAAACCACAATGTTGTAAAGCTTGATTTGGTGCGCCAGAGAACGTCAGAATGGAAAATGGTTTTCAAACAGGGCTCGAGGTTTCCAATTCTGGGCCTGTAATCATATCGACAGGTGGTTGAATGATTCAGAGCACCAGACACAGCAAATGGTGAAACCTTTATTGCCAAGGTGTTTCGCCACATACACCGTAGCATCACCAGTGC